GAATGCTGTTCAACTTCAGTGTCTTAGAACATCCCGCTCATTTGCAGGAAGCTTCAGGTAGTGGAGTGTGTTAGTGACTCTAAACCAGGGTCACCTGCTCCTTGAGCTATCCAAACGGCCGCAACAGTCTAAGCCATGAGCTAGGAGCTTTTTCCAGGTCCCCCACATTGGGACAGGGTCCCAAGGCTTTGGACCATCCTCCACTGCCTTCCCAGGCCATAAGCAGGGAGCTGGATGGGAAGTGGAGCAGCCGAGACTCGAACTGGCACCCATATGGGAGCCCAGCATTGCAAGGTGGAGGTTTGGCCAGTTGAGTCATCCACTGGCCCCTGTTACTATCAACATTGTTGTTACAAATGCATAGAACTTACCACGTGGTAAGCACAATTCAGCATGCTGCACCTCAAATTTCTGTAACCGATTATGTAATTAGCTTCAGATGATGCTCAATGCTGCTGTTCAACAGAATCTCTTCTGTCCTCACATTCATTTCCTTGAATAAAGCAGAATGACTTTTTATTCTTTTCAATCAAGTAACTCCTCTCAAAATGTCTGCCTTGTCAAAGGTTGCTTCCTAAATTCTTGATTGTGTAATGAACACCTGTTTTGTATCAAGCACTTCTTCAGGCTCTTTGGGACACTGGGATATGGTCCTTGATCTCTCGGGGGTATGTTAGTGTTCTCCAGAGAAAAAGAACCAATACAATGATGAATGGTTGTAGGATGGATGGGTGGATGGACTGATGGATGGGTGGGTGGGTTGATGGGTGGATGGATGCTTGGACTGATGGATGGATGGATGGATGGATGGATGGATGGATGGATGGATGGATGGATGGATGGATGGATGGATGGATAGATGGACAGATGGGTAGATGGATAGATTTGTTAGGTTGATTCATATCACCCCAGAAGCAGTATAGACACATCATGTGTACAGATTGTTACATACACATATGAACGGTCCTGCCTCTTACCTAACAAATTGTGAACTCCAGTGAGTAGACAAGAGTATTTAGAACACACATCCCAGGTAATGGCAGTGTAAAGAGTTGGAAATCCATTGGCATACAAGATACATCCTCAGAAGAAAGGAAGAGAAAAAGGAAGCCGACACAGAAGTCGGAATCCAGCTCCTGAGAAGAAGATGGTCTACAGTCTGACAAGACCAGGAGAGCTTTGCTACTGAGATGTGCCCTCCTTGGCCCTGTAGATTCGTATGACCCTCAGTTCCAGCTGGTCTGGCAGCTGGGGTCTAGAAATGGTATTCTAGCCATCTGCCCAGTTTGCACAGGACTTAGTGAACTTGTACTTTTCGATCCAAGGAAGATTAAACAACACAGCATCCACCCTCAGCTACCTTCACGCGTCTTTGTGGACCCAGTGGTCGCCTACATGACGTTTGCACATCCTTTGAAGAACATCTTTCTTTTTGCTTTTGCTTTTTGTCCTTCTAATGTGACCTGGTGGCTCCAGACTTTGAGAAACGTGCAGACTCCGAAATCCTGACTCTGTGTCTTCATCACTGGCCCAGACCTTCCAACAGCCAAAGAACATGTCAAGATCCCCTCTAACTCTGTGGAACACTGGATTCTGGACCATTACCCTTCCATATTCCTCCTCTTGCCTGCACCGTGAGAAAGCCTTCTAGAGCTGACTGCTGTCTGTGGAGTCAGGAACTTTATGGAGAATTTGCTTGCCCTTGTAGATACAGAGATTACAGATAAGTTTCCTTTTCTGAATTCATTTTGTTTCATGGGGGATATGAAAAATAAAATAATTACAATTTAGCATGGAGAGTGTTACAGTAGAAAACTCAGTCCTCTTTATTTACCATGGGATAAACCAGATTGACTGAAGATCTGCTGGATGGCAGTTTCCATGCTGATATGTGACAGGAATCTTCTAGTTTAGTTTTCTGAAAATATTTGTGGCTTTGTGCTGTGTGGCAGCAGTAATATAATGCTTCCGCTTGCGGGATGTACTCAATGTCCTGGGTTTCGTGACATCTGCCTAGTGACTCTAGAGGGAAAGCAGAGCAACTTTGTTTGACGGGGAGATTAAGACTTGAATTGACAAGTTAAGATTATATATGGAAGGGAAAAAAAGATTATATATGGGGGCCCAGCAAGGTGGCCTAGTGGCTAAAGTCCTCCTTGCCTTACACACATCGGGATTCCATGTGGGCCCCGGTTCTAATTCCAGTAGCCCCGCTTCCTATCCAGTTCCCTGCTTGTGGTCTGGGAAAGCAGTAGAAGATGGCCCAAGGCCTTGGGACCCTGCACCCTTGTGAGAGACCCAGAAGAGGCTCCTGGCTCCTGACTCCAGATCAGCACAGCTCCAGTTATTGTGGTCGCTTGGGGAGCAAATCACTCTGTATCTCTGACTTTCCAATAAAAAAAATAAATCTTTTTGTTTTAAAGATTGTAGGTTGCAAGAGATGAACTTCACAAACGTTGGAACCCGACTCTAGAACCTTAGCTTGAGAGTGTGAACGTTTGCCCAGCACTTTGCAGGCCCCACTGGGCACGGGAAAGTCATTCCATCAGACCTCACTGCCCTGCAGTTAGCAAACACTTTTTTAAAATAGTGATGTTCACTTTAAAATCTGAAAGGTGTCTTGGATTTCCACGTGAGAAAAGGCAATTCTGCACGGGAGGAAGCAGTCTGGACAAGGCAGGAGTGGATGTCTGCCTGATTCGTGGTGTCTGCCTCAAGTCCTTCCTGCCCTGTGGCCCCAGTCTCCGTCGTGCTTCTCAGAACACCTCAGGGTCACGTTTCTGTGTCTGTGTGTTGAGTCACCCCCGAGGCTGACCAACTACAGGATGGACTTGTCCACTGCGCATCCTTGTACCCTGTACTTCTGACACAGGGCCTGAAGTTTGGAGCATAGCCAGCCCACACACACGGCTCTGATGAAGACGGCTCAGAAGCTGGCTTCCTTCCATCTCACCCATTCAGCTTGCACAGGTCATTAGAAAGTTTTTCTTTCCACCCGTCCGAGTCCTCAGAGACCAGGGACGTCTCCAAGGTCCAGGGCTCCAGTTTAACCCTGGCTGCTGCCTCTTACAGCAACACACAGCACCCAGACCCTCAAAGAGAGACAAGGGTGCGGGGTAGGTTGTGCGTGTTTCAAATCCAAGAGGGACTGGAAGGCAGAATACGAATTCATCAGAGTTCCCGAACTGCCTGCAGGTGCAGTGTCGGCCAGAAAGGACCTGTCCCACCATCATGTGGAGGGCAGACACCGTTCTCTGGGGGTGAAGACAAGCAACAGAAGAACCAGCACTTCTGGTACAGAACACCCAGGGGTATCAGGTACTGACTCAGTATTTGGAGACACTCCGATTTAACCCTCAGGTATAGTTCTGTCTTTACCTATCATGAAATAGAGATAGAGGCACATATGATTCAAGAAAGCCTGATACAATGCACGGGTGCTTTCGGCATGGGACCAGGGGCACATGAAGCTCCGCAAACGACAGCAGCATGTGCTCGAAGGCCTTGGTGTTTGCTGAGTGCATCCCAGACTTCCGTCACATCTTCTTTATATCCAGGTCACACACTATACAAAGTCCAAACTCGCTGCTTTGGCACTCAGGTTCTTTCCTGGTAAATTCCTCACATGGATTCCTTTATTTTCATCACACCAGGCTCCATGCCATGCTGATCCCATGATTTTTAGGGTGCTGTGGGAGGGTAGAGGAGGCCCCCACAAAGGCTAATCACCATGGGGCACCCACCAGGAGAAATGCCCGCTCCATGACACAGCATTCAGTTCAGCACACATTGTTAGTGAGGGTGGCATGTCACAGGACAGATGTCCAGAGCACTGTCCTGTGTGCAACCCAGACCCACCCACCTGCGTCAGGAGCTGAGCAACTGCCCTGCTAAACATCACATATGAATGCTATTTACTTGTTTTGTTTTTTTTTAACTGTTAATGTATTACTTTTCCCCTATGGAACATAACCCAAAAATATAACCAACTCATTTGCCCATTTCGGGGCACAAAAAGAGATTCCATAAATCTTAGAAGTTTTTGAGATAAGATGATGACCTCGGTTTGAGGTCATATAATCATGAGTAAATAATATGCAAGTGGGTACATGATGACACAGGTTGAGGAAAACACCTTTGCAGGAATCTCTCAACACAGAGAGAAAACTGGCCTTACCATTGGTAATCCACAGATGAATATGCTTCTAAGAAACAATATTGTATTAAGAAGAGATTGAGTCTTAAAGATTTAGACTAAAAGAGCAAGAATGTGACCGTCTTACCCTATTCCCGCTCTATGTACAATACTCCTAAATTGATGTGCGGAGTGAAAAAAAGAAAAAATAATCTAGAGAGAATATCACCTCACAAGACTAAAACGAAAACAATTCTACTTTCTTATTTATTTTACCAGATTTAAACCCATTGCTAGGTTAATCTTTCGAGAAGCAAATGCTATTCTCTCAGTTTCATTTTTTGAAAAATTCGTGTATTTGGTTTCTGAGACAGAGCTACAGAGACATCGACAGGGAGAGACAGAGACATCCTCCATTTGCTGTGTCAATCCAAAATGGCCGTAAATGGCCCCTCCACAACCAGGAGCTAAGAGCCTCTTCCGTGTGTCACATGGGCACAGGAGACCAAGGCCTAGGGTCATTTTCTGTTGCTTTCCCAGGCTATCAGCAGGGAGCAGGATGGGGCGTGGAGCAGCCAGGATAGGAGCCGGCACTCAAATGGGATGCCAGTGCAACAAGTAGAGGATTAGCTTGCCCCATGTCTTATTAATGTACAAATGGCCCATCTTTCCCCCTCACAGATTTGATAATAACAGCAATCGCAATAGCCAGATTTAAGTTTTCTCACAAACCTACAACACCTCTCCCGATTATCAGTCCATTTTTAACAGAAGAAACTAAGTTGTTAGACCAAGCACTTTGAATTCTTCCAACTTTGTAGCTTTAGTACTGCGCCTCTGTACAAACCACATGCCAGTTTTGCTGTTTGTCTCTGTACAGATGGAGAGGGACGTGGAGTTGGCCAACATGACCAGGGTCCAGCAGTTCGTCTTGCTGGGACTGTCCACAAGGCCAGACATAAGGGATGCCCTGTTTGTGGTCTTCCTGGCCCTCTACCTGCTGACGCTCCTGGAGAACTCCCTCATCATCTACCTCATCGGCAGCCACAGGGAGCTCCACAAGCCCATGTACTTCTTCCTGGGCAACCTCAGCTGCCTGGAGATGTGCTACGTGTCGGTCACCATGCCCAGCCTGCTGGTGGGGCTGTGGACAGGACCCTACCATGTGCCCTTCACAGCCTGCATGACCCAGCTCTTCTTCTTCATTGTCCTCATCTGTACTGAGTGTACCCTCCTGGCCTCCATGGCCTATGACCGCTACGTGGCCATCTGTCGACCTCTGCACTACTCATTGCTCATGCGACCCCAGGTCTGCCAGGCCTTAGCCTTGTCTTCATGGCTTGGTGGGTTGGTTGTCTCGGTGGCCAAGACCACATGCATTGCCAGCCTTTCCTACTGCGGTCCCAATGTCCTCAACCAATTTTTCTGTGATGTCTCCCCTCTGCTCAACCTGTCCTGCACCCACGTGGCCCTCACAGAGCTGGTGGACTTCATCTCTGCCATCGTCATCTTCTGTGGCACGCTGCTGGTCTCTTTGGCCTCCTATGCGGCCATCGGGGTGACCGTGCTCCACATGCCGTCAGCTGCTGCCCGTCACAAGGCCTTCTCCACCTGTGCCTCCCACCTGGTGGTGGTGGGCATCTTCTACTCAGCAGCTCTCTTCATCTACTGCCGTCCCAGCCGTATCAAGTCCATGGACCTCAACAAGGTGTTGTCGGTCATCTACACGGTGGTCACACCTTTGTGTAACCCCATCATCTACTGCCTGCGCAACAAGGAGGTCCACGCAGTACTGCTCAAGAGCCTCAAATGTTCATGACCCTGGTGTTCCAAACCTTGAAATCTCACTCCTTGATTCAAATCTCTCATGTAAGGAGCTTGTACTGAGCTTTAGTTAAATCTGAAATGACAGAGACCAGGAAAATCTATGAAAAAGCACAACATCTAAAATAAATAATGAGTGTCTGGTAACCCCTATGAAAAAATGTCTAACCTTACTACCAAATCAACAAATCCACATTCAATATGAATATTTAACATGAATTTAATAATACAGTTTTTCACTACTAAAAAATGTGCCCAATGATTTTCTAAGTTCTCACAAATACAGGTAGTTGTCATATTATTTGCTGTTTCATCGTTTGCAATGAATAAATCAGAAATGGCTTAAATGTCCACAAATGTCAGATGGCTTAAATTTAGTAAATTACATTGATAATGAGATAAATAATCTCTTCTTAAATTGGAATAAATATATGTTTATGTTTAAGCATGGGAAAAAAGACAAGGTGCATTGATTCCAGATTGATTCTGCGTAGGTGGCTTGTGTCCATTGCTTGCACTTAGTAGTCTCCGATGATCATTTATTCCCAATGCACTCACTGTAATGTCTTGGACATAGTGTAGCATGCAAGACAATTGCTTTTTATTAAAAGATGATCATAAGGGGCCCGGCACAGTAGTCTAAAGTCCTCACCTTGCATGCACTGGGATCCCATATGGTCATGGGTTCTAATCCCGGCAGCCCTGCTTCCCATCCAGCTTCCTGTGGCCTGGGAAAGCAGTCAAGGACGGCCCAAAGTCTAGAGACACTGCACATGCGTGGGAGACCCAGAAGAGGCTCCTGGCTCCTGCCTTTGGATCAGCACAGTTCTGGCCATTGCGGCTGCTTGGGGAGTATATCAGCGGACAAGGAGTCTTCCTCTCTGTCTCTCCTGCTCTCTGTATATCTGACTTTCCAATGAAAATAAATGTATCACTTATTGAAAAGATGGTCATAGGAACCAATATCTTGGCATAGTCTATGCATTGCTACCAACCTTTCAGGGGAAGAAACCAAGAATAACTCAAAAAGTTCATGGAAAACAGAATAAAAATAAGCTTACCTTGGTGTAAATTTTGGGGGAAAATCTGTGCTTGGTTTTTCATAATAAATACTTTTCATGAACTTTTTGAAGAGCTCCAATGTGTATTAATTTTTTTGCATATATGAATGTACAGATCTAAGGCATGTGTGTATGATTTATATAACATTATACACATGCATGCTATAGCATACTACATGTATGTTCATATATAGAAATCATTCTAGTGGTAAATATATTCCACATGTTGTTTTTCCATTTATTCATTGATTAGGTTATAAATGTGGCCATTATGCATGGTTCTCCAATGAAAAAGATTGTACAAATGTCAGTTTCTGTTTTCAATAATAAATATTCTTTCAGCTTTACTAGAAGATTCTATCTTGTGGCTCTCTGTGCCATCAGTATTTTTCAACATGAATTGAAAACAGCGTATGGTTCAATGTTGATGTGTTCTACACCTCAGCTGACCCAGTAAATGCCATGGCTGTTTGGTGCTAATATTAATACTCCAGTCTCAGAGCACAGAGCTGTGAACTGTGGGAGAAGTAAGTCAATTGCGGGAGGGGAGAGTTGTCCTTTGCTACTGTTTCCCTCAAGGCATTGCATCCCTTCCGCCTCTTCTATAAATCTGCAGAGGTCGGGTCTGTCTCTTTGGCACAGTATGGATAGTTAACTCAGCAACCCAGCGATCCAGAACATGGAGAATCAAGGGTGAGCGTGCCATTTCAGCACCGCAGACAGCTCCTCCCGAGCTGCGCTGGAAAGCTGCCTTCCCTCCTGGCATGCCTGGACAGAAGCTGAAGGCTCCTCCAGAGTAGCACCACCTACGAAGGATCCACCTTGCCGTTTCATCATCAGGTGAGGAGAGCAAAGATGAGGAGGAGCAGAAAGAACACGAGGAAATATTAACTTTATCGCATGTCCAGTTTACGTGTTAATCTCGATATATTGCTTCCAGAGGAGCATCAGAAAGGAAAGCCTGCCAGACTCCAAAATTCTTCCCATAGAATACAAAGTTCATTTGTAGTAGCATACACATCTCCCCTGCAGTAGCTAGTATTAGTTGGGATTTAGTCATTGTAATGGGACGACCCTCACCTTCACTGCACAGGATACAGAGGAGGTTCAAATGGACTAAACAAATTGCCTACAGTTATTCTTCAAAGCTTTCAATGCCTTGAGGTCCAAACCCAGCCTTTTCATGTGAATATGTGTGCAGCCCCTGGCATTGTGATTTCCATTTCTAAATAAGCCTATGTGGGACGGAGTGGAACTGAAGGGATCTGAGAAATTCGGGCTTTTGCGAGGACAGTTCTGTATGACATCTGAGCTGATGCTTTAACCTGCATACCAGACCCTGTTGGCTTTGTCTTCAGACTTAGCTCAAGGCAGGGACAGTTCTTCCTGCTATTTCCTGTCCTTATCAACGATCACCACACATATTTACTGGACGCAGCATGGCATTTCAGTACTTGTACGCAAGGTGGGCTTAAAGAAGGGCAAAATATGCTTCCCCTTATTTTCCATTACTTTTGATTAGAACCTTGGAGTTCCTTTCTTCTGTTTTCTCATGAAATGTCCCCCAGATTATTGTGAGCCACAACCGCCCCACTATGATGTGTGAATTAGAAACATTCTCTACATCTAACTCTGATCTGATTCCTTTACCGCTCCGAGTCGGGAGTCGAATGGGAAGTGGAGCATCCAGGACATGAACTGATGCTTATGTGGTATCCCAGCACATGCAAGGCTAAGCCTGCAGCCACTAGGCTACTGCATCAGACCCAAACTTCCAATTTTTAAAGACTCACCACCTGTGCTAATTCACATTCCTGTTAGTTCTCATTTGTCTGCAACCCATCAGATTTTGTGACTTTGTCTTTTAGATAGTAGGCAGTAAGAGAACATAAGATCTACTTGTGGCTTTGATCTGTATTTTCCTGAGGACTAGCAAGACAACATTTTTCACATGCCTGTTGGCTGTGGGTATGCCTTCTTTTCAGAACTGTCTACTCAGATCCACTGAAGAACGTAAAATGTAGACATGATGATGGTGTGTAGTCTACTTGCACCACAAAGCTTGAAAATATCGTGGTTCAAATTCCCCACTTTATCCCCGTTCTAGCTCATGGCACTTCTGACAGTTAATGGCCCATAACTGTATGTGAGACGAAACAGCCCTGCTGTATGTTGATGTGAGCTTTTATGTACACTAAGACAGTCTGTCCTTGGCCAGCATGATTCCTGAATTAGCTGAGTCTTGGCATGGATAGGAAGACAAACACAGAATCATATCTGGGCACAAAGATTCTGAGTAGATGAGCAGAGAACGTAGAGAGTAACTTCAGAATATGAGAGAGTTCCACCCTGCAATGGAGAGCAGTTCCACCCAGGGAACAGAATCTGGCAAGAGGATGGCTCTCCTTCAAGGTTACGGAGACCGTCAACATCTGCAAGCAAACCTGATTTCGTGAGGAGCCCATTCCTGAGCACAAGAGGATAGAACACCTGCCAAGGTTGAGGCTCACCCAGGTAACAGCACTGGCCGTGAGATGAACTCTTACGAGAGCTTGGTTTCTAACTACCCACTATGAGCTGTGCATTCATGTAGTCCACCTTTGACCAACAGGGACAAGTGGCAATATTCCCATTGTACTGACCTGGGTACAAGAGTCGGGCAGTAGTGTCAATGCTCAAGTAAACGAGAAGTGATCGTATCTGCATCCGGTCCTTACTGTAAGGACACACAGCATAAAAACTAAAATCATGTCAAGAGAAAACGGGTATTTTTGGGAAAAGGAAAATAATGGTCTTATACGTTACATCATTGGACACATTTGAGTTCCTCTCTTGAGTTTAGGAAAGGAAAAAGTAACTGCTAAGGAATGCATTTGTTTCAACACTGAAATAAGAAAAATTCTACTCATGATTTGGCAGTGTTTGGATAATCCTTGCTTTACTTACAATGCTCATCTCCATGTTTCACACAGGGAAATTATTTCTACAAGGTCACATGTTTGTCTAGAACAGTGACTGTGAGCAGACTTTGTTTCCCAGATCTAGTGTCACTCCCTTTTTAACACTCAGCCATCAACAGAGATGCAGCTGGCAGAGTCACTGGGTCCTGTGCTCCGTGGACACACCCTAAGACTCATCTCACTGTAAAGCCACTGCAGGAACCCGAGTGTCAACATTTTATTTGTCTCTGTACAGATGGAGAGGGACGTGGAGTTGGCCAACATGACCAGGGTCCAGCAGTTTGTCTTGCTGGGACTGTCCACAAGGCCAGACATAAGGGATGCCCTGTTTGTGGTCTTCCTGGCCCTCTACCTGCTGACGCTCCTGGAGAACTCCCTCATCATCTACCTCATCGGCAGCCACAGGGAGCTCCACAAGCCCATGTACTTCTTCCTGGGCAATCTCAGCTGCCTGGAGATGTGCTACGTGTCAGTCACCATGCCCAGCCTGCTGGTGGGGCTGTGGACTGGACCCTACCGTGTGCCCTTCACAGCCTGCATGACCCAGCTCTTCTTCTTTGTCTCTCTCATCTGCACTGAGTGTACCCTCCTGGCCTCCATGGCCTATGACCGCTACGTGGCCATCTGTCGACCTCTGCACTACCCACTGCTCATGCGACCCCAGGTCTGCCAGGCCTTAGCCTTGTCTTCATGGCTTGGTGGATTTTTTGTCTCAGCAGTGAAAACAAAATGCATTGCCAGCCTTTCCTACTGCGGTCCCAATGTCCTCAACCAATTTTTCTGTGATGTCTCCCCTCTGCTCAACCTGTCCTGCACCCACGTGGCCCTCACAGAGCTGGTGGACTTCATCTCTGCCATCGTCATCTTCTGTGGCACGCTGCTGGTCTCTTTGGCCTCCTATGCGGCCATCGGGGTGACCGTGCTCCACATGCCGTCAGCTGCTGCCCGTCACAAGGCCTTCTCCACCTGTGCCT